GTACTCCCCTTGTTATTCAGTACCTGGTGCTGTTACTCCCTTTGTTATTCAGTACCTGGTGCTGTTACTCCCTTTGTTATTCAGTACCTGGTGCTGGTACTCCCCTTATTATTCAGTACCAGGTGCTGTTACTCCCTTCGTTATTCAGTACCTGGTATCAGTACTCCCCTCATTCAGTACCAGATATTGAATGGTGCCAGTATTCTGAAGATAAAAACAATGAAGTGCTGGCAGGGCTGGTGCATGGCACAGGCAATATATGCAAATACTAGGGGAGCCCATTCGGGGGGGGGGGGGCTCCCCACAAGGTAGAAAGGGAAGGGGGAAAATGAAAAATTTACTATATTTATTTATGAATAACACTATTACACTATTATTTCAAAATAATGAAAAGCTTATCGTATTAAATATCACGTGTCACGCACTATCTGTGTCTTTAAGTGGCGGAACAGTGCGTGATATGATTAACAGTATCTAATTAAAACAGGCATTATCACGTCAATAAGACCAAATCTTCCAGTGCCCAGAGAAGAAAAAGAAGAAGAGGGGGAAAAATGGAAAAAAGACAGAGGTAATAATCACTAATGAGAGTAATTACCAAGGATAAATGAGGATAATTCCTTATTTCCTCATTTAATAAATAGCTAGAATTAACGCCAGTTACTTCCTATGTAAATTCATTAGGGAAAGTTGGAAATTGTTTTCTGCTGTTTGGAAATGAGGAATAACCTACAACAGTTTTCAGAAAGACACTATACTGCCAAAAGTATTGGGACACCTGCATTTACACTCAAATGAACTTTAATGACATCCCATTCTTAATACATAGGCTTTAATATGTTGGCCCACCCTTTGCAGCTATAACAGCTTCAGCTCTTCTGGGGAGGCTGTCCACAAGGTTTAGGAGCATGTTTATGGGAATTTTTCACCATTCTTCCAGGAGAGCATTTGTGAGGCCAGGCACTGATGTTGGATGAGAAGGCCTGGCTCACAGTCTCCACTCTAATTCATCCCAAATGCCTCAACTGCTCGCCCACATTTTTAGCACCTTAGTCATATACGCAGTCCATATTACATTAGGGCCTTGGGGGTGCGGGGAGGGGGATGGGGGACTCTGCCATCTGCCAGTG